ACAACACACACACACACACACACACACACAACTGCACCACACCTTCCCACACGCACTCCCACACACACACACCGCCACCCCACCCACCCACACACGCCCACCTGTGCGACTCCAGGTACATGACCGCGGAGTGGAGGCGGGCGGAGGTCCACTCGTGGGGCCTCAGCCCGCGATCCGCCACCGCCGCCGCGTTGTACTTGGGCCAGGGCTCGTTGACCAGGTTGAACATCACCGTCACCTCCTGCACCTGGCGCTGCCGCCCCGCGCCGCCCACCGCCGACCGCGTGACGATGCGTTCCATGTGGGTCGGGGTGAAGGTGGGGGCGGCCGCGGGCACGCCCTCCAGGTTGGGCGCCAGGTCCACGCTCGTCCCGCTGCGCGTCACCACCCAGCACTTGTCGACGCGGTACGAGCAGCCCTGCGGCGGGCGGTACGCGGCGCGGTACGGGGCACGCGGCGTGGCGAGCGGGTGAGCGCGCGGGGCGAGCAGCGTGGGGCACGGCGCTGGCACCCCCGCCAGCCTGCTCCGCCGCTGCCGGAAGGCCCCGCCGCCGGCGTGCCGCCCTTGGGCCCACATCCCCGCCGCCCCTGCTCTGCTCTGCCGCTAACCCAAGGCACCGCCGCCGCTGCCCCACCGCTGCAGCTGGCACGGCATGCAGGGCGCACCTCCACGGGGGCGGCCCAGGCGCGGGAGCGGATGGAGTTGCGGGCGGTGGAGGGGTAGCGCTCCAGCGGCGCCTGCGGCGTCAGCACCGCCCGCACCTCCGCCACCTGCGCCGGCGGGTGGGTGACTGCGGGCGGCGGGCAGGCGGCATGCAGGCAAGTCAGCACGCGGTCAGGCACCGGCACCAGGCCAGCAGGCAGCCATGCAGGATGCAGGCAAGGGAGTGCAGGAGGCAAGGCCACAGGCGGTCCCCGGCCAGCGCAGCCGACACAACGCGAGGCAGCCCGCTGTACTGCGGCAGCTGCCGCGCACGTGAGTGGTACCAGTATCCGCAGTGCATCAGTACCGCCACCAGGTCCGAGTCCTCTGTGTACACGTCAGAACCCCACAGCTGCCGCGCCCGCACGTGCCGGTTGTTGCTGGTCAGGCAGTGCGCCGGGATGCGCACCTGCGGCGGCGGCGGGAGCGTGCGGGCGCTGGCATGGATGCATGCGAGCGCCGCGCGAGCACCGCGGGGCCCGCACCAGCTGCCACCCGCCATGCATGGCAGGGGGGTGGGTGCCCATGCAATTGGGCTCCCCTGCAATCACAGACGGTCAGTCCCCCTGCCCTGCCACCTCCCAGTGGGTGCCCCCTCTGCCCCCGCCAGCCCTGCCCCTCCCCGGGCTCACCTCCACCGACTGCGAGGCGCCGTCCTTGCTGTAGTAGCTGCGCAGGTCGCGCAGCGGCTCGCCATCCTTGTACATCAGCATGGGCAGGCGCGGGCCTGCGGGAGGGGGGCGGGAGCCGGGGGTGGGCAGGCGGCAGCGGCGGGAAGCGGCAGCGGCGGGAAGCGGCAGCGGACGGCTTGCATGCGTGCAGCAGCGTGTGTGCGGGAAGGAGCCAGCGGCAGCGGAAGCCGGCAGGTGGCAGCGGTGGACGGGAGCGCCAAAATGCACAGTCGGGCGGCCCGGCAGCCACGCATGGCGGCAACACGGGGGGACCAGCGCCCCCCTGCGGCCCCAGCACGTACTGGCGGCAGTGCAGGCGCCAGCCGACAGCGCCGCAGCCAGCACCCCCTGGGGCAGCAGCAGGTGGCCCTGCTGGCCCACACACCTGGCTTTTTAACCACGCCAGCAGCCACCACCCCTGGTAGCCCTGGTGGCACTTGGTCCAGCCGTGGCAGCTTGCCCGGCATCTGCTGCACGCCATTGACCTCCCCCGGACGCTTGGACATGGCGGTGCTGCTGCTGGTCGCCCCCTGTCACGCTCTGACGCCGCCTCACAAGGATGCTGCCAGGTGGGTTTGGGTGGCCCGACCCCCTGCAGGGCTTTTGGGCCGCTGTGATCGCCCTCCACGACTGCCTTGGCGGCCTCCCCTGCTCTCCACGCGAGCTGGGCTGCGTCTGGGGGCCGAGGACAGGGCAGGGCTGCTTGGGCAAGGCTGCCCTGGTCACGCAGCGAGGCTGATCGGGTGGGGGCTGGGGGTGGGTGCTGGGGGCAAGGCAGGAGATGGGGTGCCACTGCTCGACAGGCACTTGAAACCCCAGCAGCAGGCCATTTGAGACCCAGGAGGGTGGAAATGTCGGTGCCTGACGACCCAAGGCGCAGGCCCGAATTCATGCGCGGCACAGCCGCACGAAGAAGCCAAGAAGCAGGGAGGCAAGGGGAGGCACAAACGCCGCAGGTGAAGGGTGAACATCTGCATCCCCACATCCCCACCCGGTAGCGCATCCACAGGCGCGGCGGTGGGAGCGACGACTAGTGCCCCAATCCCTTGGTGTGGATGTCTCTTCTGTCATACAAAATGCTGCCTTCTTGGATTGGCATGATGACACATGCAGGTGCCCAAACCTGCAGCCCCAGTTTGAAACGGCGGCCGGAGCCGACTTGGTCAGCAAGCATGTGGTGTAGCACCCCAGATATGCACACAGGCCAACAACTCAATGGTTTGGGGCGGTATCGTCCTCAAGAAAGGAAGGATTGCTGCCTGGACATCAGCACGGCGCCGCGGCGGCGGCAACGGCAGCTGGGTGCCAGGGGGGCCGCAACGCCCCTCCGTGAATTGCTCAGCGAGCCACAGAGCCAGCGACGCTCTGCGATGCAATCCTGCTAATGATCAGCGCCCCTGATGCCCTACATCGAACCGCCGGCACTCCTCGCGCCTGCGCCTTGAGCGGGCTTTCAACACGGCACTGCCTGGCCGCTTCAGATCAGACTCCTTCTGATCAAATCACCATGAGCTCCCAATCGCAACCATGAGCCGAGCCTCAATCGGCGGCTCTGCGTCAAACCTGGAGCTTGCGGCAGCGCCGCAGCTCCTGCGGCGGCCCCGGGCATCTGCCCAGGATTTGCTGGCCTTGGTAGGGTCCACGCCGCGGTGCGAGGACTGGTGAGTCCGGCTGTTGCACCAGCCACCCGAGCCCTCTGCTGCAGCTGTCTTCTGCCCCCAAACACGCCTGGCTGGGCCGGGACCGCTGATCGACTGCTTCACGATCGTCCCTGGGCTGCAGGGAGGTGGCAGAAAGGGCCAAGCGCGCGGTGGTGGGCGGCGGCAACGGCGGCGGCTCGGCCCGCGCCTCGCCGCGCGGCCTGCCCCCGCTGTCGGCCCGCAGCTGGCGCCGCGCGCTCAGCGCAGCCCTGGCCCTCGCCCTCTGCCTGGTGCTGCTGTTCAAGCACCGGTCGCTGTACCGCAACGGGCAGGACGCGGTGGCAGCCGCCTACTATGGCCTCGACCCCGCCATGCTCGGCCGCAGCGAGGCGCGCTACCCGGCCCCGCACTGCTGCCGCGACGAGGCCTGCGCGGCCAGGGGCAGCGGCAGCGGTGCAGCCAGCAGCAGCAGCAGCAGCGGCGGCGGCGGAGGAGGAGGCACCGGGCGCGTGGCGGTGGTCACGTACCTGCGTGACGACGCCTACACGCCGCTGCTGCAGCAGCTGGAGTGCACGCTGCGGCGCAGCAACCCGGGGCTGGAGCTGGGGCTGATGATGGTAGAGGGGGAGCTGGGTGCTGGCACGCTGGCGCTGGCCCGCGCCCTCAACATCACCCTGCTGCCGGTGGCGCCGCTTGACTACCCAAACACATACGACTGGAGGTGAGGGGTGAAGGCAGGGAGGCGAGGGCTGCTGAGCAGGGGCATCAGGTGCTGCGTGTTGCTGTCGAGTAGCCGGATGGGGATGAGTGGCGGCGGCGGGCGCTGGGGTGCACAAGCGTGGCCCCGCCTCCGCCCCGCTTCAGATGCCAAACCATGCACGCCCCGCCCGCCTGCTCCCCGCAGGTACAGGCGCAACTGGCTCAAGGTGCGGGCGCTGGGGCTGGTGCAGTACGACGCTGTTCTGCTGGTGGACGCTGACGTGGCGGTGACGGGCGCCCTGCACCCGCTCTTCTCCATGCCTGTGGAGTTTGCGGCGGCCTGGGACCAGAGCAAGTGGCTCAACAGGTGCGCGGGGAAGGGAGCAAGACGAAGTGCTGTCGCTGCTGCCTGCAGATCATGTTGCCGCTTTGGTAGAGCAGGCTCGGGGTGCGCCTCCACGCGCGCCTTTGCCTCCCTTCCCTGCTGAGTTGATGCTCATTCGACTCGGCCACCTGCATGTGCTCTTCCGTCCTCGACCCGCTGGCTGCGCCGTGCTGCCGCCACCCCCGCCCCACCCCCCGACGCAGGTTCCGCACAGTGGTGCAGGGCATCAACGGCGGCGTGTTCCTGCTGCGCCCCTGCGCCGCGGTGGAGGCGCACATGGCGGCGCTGCTGGAGGCGCACCCCAAGCTGCGCTTCACCCACAGTACCGCCGAGCAGGACTTCTTCGGATGGTACTATCGGTACACCGGCGCCACGCTGCCCATCCAGTACAACTGCCAGGCGGAGCAGGCTCTGGGCGCCGACGGCCTGACGGGTGCGCGCCTGGTGCAGCTGCGCGCGTGGAGTGCCATGGCCAGCCGAGGCGCTCCCTGCTGCCGCTCACACTGCCAGCCTCTCCTCCTCCTGCCTGCCCCGCGCCGACTCACTGGCTGCCCTGTTGCTGCTGCTGCTGCTGCTGGCTGCAGTGGGCGGCATGGTCCCCAAGATTGTGCACTTCACCCGTAACAAGCCCTTCCACGGGCCGCAGCAAGGCGCACCGGGGCACCAGTACCTGTGCAGCCTGGACGACCTGCACCGCCGCTCCATCCTGGCCGGCCAGATGGCCTCGCCTGGCCTGGAAGCTGCCGAGGCAGCCGCGGCGGCCGCTGCGGCTGGGGCCCAGCCGCAAGGAGAGCAGGCCGCCGGCCAGCAGCACGGCGGCGATGACGTGCAGCAGCAGCAGCAGCAGCAGCAGCAGCAAGAGATGGTGCAGGCGCCAGCGGCAAGCGGCCAGGCGAGGCCTGATGCGCAGCAGGCGCAGCAGGAGCAGCAGCAGCAAGAGCCTGACGCTACCCACCGCTTACTGTCGGCACAGTCTGGCCTCCTGCAGCAAGGCAGGAATGAGCTGCCATAGGCATGCACACATTTCACCGTAGCCCTCTCACAGCCAGGTAGCTCATATGCACCCCGGACCTCTGCTTGCCTCCCGGATGCAAACGAATCAAGGCCGCTTAACCATCACCCCAGCAACCGCACTCGCAGCATGCTTTCGTCAGTACCCGCTTTCTCTGTATTCTGTACTGGATGCCTCCCTCGCCAGTCCTGCTTCTCTCCTCACAACGACCCCCCCCCCCCCCCA